GGTGTGTGTGGGTGTGTGTGTGTGTGTGTGTGTGTGTGTGTGTGTGTGTGTGTGTGTGTGTGTGTGGGTGTGTGCCCAATATTTTTTTGGGCTCTTTTATTGTCCATTTGTATATTTGTGGCTGTTTGTGTTTTATTAAAGATTCTTTATCTTTTAATCTCTGCGTGTGCGTGTATGCATAGCTATTTGCTATGTTCTGCTCCATGCTGAAAGAGAGTTCAGTTGTCCTTTAGATCAAGGTCAACGAGCTGTGCCCTATCTTATTGGTTCATCTATTAGCTGTTAACTGGTGGGTCTATGGATGGATGGAGTAAAAGCTTTGACCCCATGTTAAGCACAGTCACCTACAGGGGAAAGTAACCGTCAAGATGGAATTGAGTACAGCTTACTGATTACCTTTTTAAAATTGTAATTGGTCCACTAATCTGTTGGATGGGTGTGTTTAATTAACAGTCAGGAGTCTTAACTCTTTCAGACTACAACATCCAATATTTCTATTCTCAGATCTATCAGTGTATCCATTTCTAAGGGTTCGTTTAAGCCTGAATGAATGCAGAGGCCACCAACAGTAATCAACCAAAGACCAAAGTGATTTTGGGAATTTATCAAGTTTTAAAACTGACAGCAATCTATAGTTTTCATCTGATGTCCGAGCTACCGGGACACACCCACCTGGTGGGCAAAAACAGTACTGAGGTCTTCTGCTCTGCTATCGGGTACAATAATCACCGGGTACACTAATCTTTGAGATTATGGCACCAACATGTGAGCACGCCTCTCCTAACCCTGCCTCCCAGTCCCTGCTTCTCCGCAGAAACCCAGACTGTCTGTGTCGGCTCATTTCAGCTGTAGATCAGCTTTTTGTAATGACACAATTTATGTGACAAATTAATTAGAATACCAAAATTTTTCTGGTGTTACATTGTAAAACTCATTGCAAAATGTCTCTTCATATCTTCACTTTTCTCCCATTGATAGATTATCTAAGTAGTCTTGGCCCAACACAGGTAAACAAAACAACACTTTTGTCCTGCAGTAATACCAACGTCCAGCGTCGGACGTCAGGATGGAGTAACGTGTTTTGCCTGCTAGGTTAGTAAGTTAATCACTACCATTTTTTTTGTTTTTGAAAATTTCCTTCATGCAAAGAACACCAAAGCAAAACACTTCAAAAGGGTTGTTTAGAGCAACTCGTCAATGTTCCGTTGTGAATGTAGGATGCCTCGATATCTTATCATGTACTTCCAGCCTCGGTGGATGATGTTGAGATGAAAGCTCTGTGCAGGTCATACCGTCCTTCTTCCTTAATTATTATTATTCAAACTCGTCAGAGAAAGGCCGGCCAAAAGGTTCGAACTTTTAGTCTTGCTGTTATTGACAGCACTAATCACTGCATCACGCTGACACGGGCAAATATGGCTTTTCAGCATCAGCAAATTGTGTTAATTATAAGTGCAATAACTTTAAATTGTCATTCACAGAGTGGGCAGTCAGTGATGCAAAAAATAACAGTCTAAAGATCTCTGTAGGGTGTTCTTGGAGCTGGTTATGTGAAGCCAGAAGAAACAGAGATAGAACTGGGGTTATCTGAGACAAACCTGCTACTTTCTACTTCAGTAGTTTTGGTCATATTAGGCGACATTTTCACTTACAATTCCTGTGACCTAAGAGGCAAAAGAAAATGGCTTTGCAAGAGTCTAATTTTATAAGCTAATTTGTTTGAAGTGCTTTTAAGAATGCCTGTGTTTGAATACTTTAATTCCCTCTTTGGAAAGAACTGTGCACCTATTTAAAGGTTTGAAAGATGAAATTCTTTTTCTGTGTTAACTGGTGTGGTTTAAAAAAAAGGAAAAGGGACAAAAATGGTTTTAATGTTACGCAGTGTCAATTTGGATCATTTGTGCTCTACCAATGTGGAATCCAAATATGACGTTATTGAATTTATGTGACTGATCATATCTATATACTCATTACATATGACCAACCCTGCCTAATGTACTGTTGGTCCTTCACATATTGACAGGGCTCCAAACTCCCTGAGGACAGGACTCCTTTGAAAATAACAGATTCATGGTTTATCACTTTTTTGAGGTGTGAGACACAAGAATGTCAGAGTCACTTGGGTGGCTGACTGTGAGAATAGGCTGTTTATTTTCTATATTTAATTTCCAGTTTATATCCCAGGCCCTGATATGCAGCAGTGCTGCCAGATAGTTATTGCTGCTTGTGTCGTACGGTACTGTGCAGAAGTCTTGAGCCACCTCCTAATAGTTTCCCTCCAAAGGTGCCATCACTCAAATAGCTATTGGCTAAAAACCTGGCACATTAGGGCATGGTGTGCAGTGCATCCTTAAAGACTTTGAGCAGATGAACAGTATTTGAATGTAATGTCTGACAGAAATGGGAAGAAATCTAGCAAAGACCTGACACGTAACCTAAGAAATGCATCCCGCCAAACTACTGTTCAAGAAGTCGTTAATAAGGATCAAAACAAGAATAAAAGAAGTAGTAGTAGTATTTTTGGTTCAAATCATCAATTACAAGAAAAATCTTTCCCCAGTAACTTTACTGTATAAAGAGCTAACATCGCCAAAATGTCAGGAGTAGTTAGTTACTACAAGAAGTGTTTGTGAACTAAAAATCAAGAATGTGGGATACTGTTTGTCCGTGATTTGGAGAGCCCAGCGCTGCTCCCAACACAGGGAAAACCAATTCTGCGGGGGAGACCTACCTCGGCACTTGTGCAGATGAAGCCAAAGGGAAGATATGCTTCACCATATTTTCTATTCTTTGGCTTAGAATGAAGTTGGTTTGGAAACATATTTGGCGATGCTTCATCTCCTGCTTTGCGTTTGTGTGGAAGCCCCGTCAAAAACCTGTCAATTATGCCAACAGCGTCCAAGCATCCTTTTTTTTCTCTTTCTTTTCATACCACGCCCCCCCTGCAATGGCTCTGCCCCACACTTTGGGAGCCTCTGATTTAAGCAATGTTTGATCATCTCGACAGAGAACAGAACAAATGGTAGCCAACTTCCACAGAGAAGGCTTTGAATGTCCTTCAAGAAGCCTGGAGAACTGTTCCTGAAGGCTAATTAAAGAATTACAAGTAAAATTTACCCAAGAAAGTTCAGGTCGTGTTGAAGAATAAAGGTGGTCAAAAACCAAATGTTGATTTTCAAACTTTTTAGAATTGTAGAAACTAAATGTTTGCCTTACTGTATTTTCAGATATGTTTGCACTTACAGAAAAACAAGGGGTAGCTCATATACACAGTGTACTTTAGGTGCGGGTGTATATTGCAACTCATTAGTCCTTACAAAATAGCTTCTATTGTTTTGATGTCACTTTAGCATCTAGGGAAAAATGCTAGGGAAAACCTAAACTTCATTATAGTGTTAAGACAAAAAAAACTGCCTACTTATTTTTGTAGTAGAAGGAAGAACTATTATGAGCCAACTGTGTCTTTTGTCATTCAGTCTCCCAGTGGGAACCATACTAACAAGCTTCTTATCCCAGCCTTGCTGTTTATATCCCACACACCTGGCTGACCAAGCCTTCTGCTATAATGATGGACTCTTTAGAGCATAAAAGGTGTTTAATCTAACTAGAAACACATAATCGTCCTCGGGGATCTAGCAAAAATCTGTTTGAAATGTTCATAAAGAAAGTGTGTCTCGCTGTTGATGCAGAAAGTTTGAAAACAGTCCGTTTGTAACTTTATGCATCTTGCGCAACCGTACTTTCTGCTGGGGTACTGCTGATGTTGTTTTTGTGCTCATGTTAATTACTTAGATCTGAGTGGGGATGATTAGCATGCTAGTAGTAATAGCTAACAGGGAATCCGATAGCCTATTATCATAATGAGTCCCTTTGGCGTACTGTGTGGGTTGGTAAAAAAAAAAAGAGAGAGAGAAAATGAAGAAGTTATGCCGGTCGCCCAGAGAGGAGCGTTGCATCAGTGAAGTGGTTTGTTTTGATTTTCCCCCCCTTTTTTTGAGGAGATTAAATGATTCAAATTGATTTGTCCACCCTGTCTGGAATTTGATAATGCCACAGCTGAAAGGAAACATAAGCACAGTAATATAAAACAACACCAACAGAACAACCACATCCACACTGAAATACAACACATTAAAAGCTGAAATGGCATCATACTTTTCGTCACAGGTCTTTAGTTACCAGCCTGGAAAAAATCTAAATGCAGACATGGACATGAATATTCATTCCTGACAGGTGTTTCTGTCCAAACATTCACACACATGTATAAACACACACACACTCTAGGAGTGACATTTCTACAGCTGTGCTCATCATACAGCCATCCATATACGCTGGACTTCTGCTGCCCTCGACCTCGTCCCATACATGGTCAGCAGCATCTTTATATGTTGAAAGTATTTGGAGTCTCTTGAGGTGGTGTTTACGTTTTTTAAATATTTCATCATTTATACTTTTTCTACAGGGCAAGTTTATGTTTTCTTCCTGGTTCTTTATCCCTTCGCTTTGTTCTTGCACCTGCCGCATTTTGTCTTGTCAGACTTTCAAGGAAGCTGTGCTGGTATTCTTCAGCGCCACGCAACTGTCGACAGTTTGATCAATCTTTCCTTTTGATTCTTGCCAATCACTAAAAGCTCCAGGGCTAAAAAGGAAACTGTGGAACGACTCTCTTCTTGTTAACTCTAAATTTTAACATTAACATTACTACCATCTGTTGAGAAGGCGTAAAAAGACATATTGGTGTGCATATTCCCACCTCTGATTGGGTTTGATTAAATGCAGAGATAAGCTGAACTATAGCCGTCCTTTAACTCGTATTTCCCCTGATCTACTCCCACTCTGAATGGATGTTTCTTAATGACTTGAAAAATGGCTATTTACTAAAGATATTCTGTAATTATTAGACTGATATTAATTTGCTAAATATTACAGGTTATAATAATCAATGAGAATTAAATAAAATACATATACAATTATAATTTAATGTACTTTTCCTCCTGCAGATGGCAAGGCCTGCCCCTCCAAAGACTTCCAGTGTCGTAACGGGAAATGTGTGGCACCGATCTTTGTGTGTGACGGAGACGACGACTGCGGGGACGCCAGCGATGAGGAGAAATGTTCAGCTCCCACCTGTGGGCAGCATGAATTCCGCTGCAACGACTCGGAGTGCATCCCTGCCCTGTGGAGCTGTGACGGCGACCCCGACTGCAAGGACAAGTCAGACGAGTCCATGGAGCGCTGCAGCCGGAGGACGGAGCCCCAGAAACCCCGCTGTCTGGTGAGCGAGTTCCAGTGCGGGAGCGGCGAGTGTGTCCATTTGAACTGGAAGTGTGACGGCGACCCCGACTGCAAGGATAAATCAGATGAAGCAAACTGTCGTAAGTCAGCTTTTTTCTTTTTGCCACCATGTGCTCCCCCTGTGCCGTTCGCTTTATTGTTGTTGAAAGCAATTAGAAAACATAGGAACGAGTCACACCACTGGCATGCTCCTTAATCAAAACATCTTTTTTAATTATCTTTGATTATTCCATAACAACGGGCACAATTCAACTCTGATCAGTCTGAGGAGCGTGGTAGTGAAGTAACTGATCAGCCTAAAGAATCCAGTTTTATTAATTTTAGAAAAATTAGGATGAATGGTTTGTATTAGTACTTTTGGATATTGTGTCATTTATCTTTACTTGAAGCTAATGCCAACTATCGCCTTTAATGAAAGTTACGGATGGATACCAAAAAGTAATCAGTTGTTTTGTAGAGCAGCAGCTTAAATGTACTGGAGGACTATGCTTTGAAGACCGGCTCTGCTCTGAACAAAGACTGTGTGACAAATGTGTCACCAAATGACTAAAGGAAGATCAATTCTAATTTTATCGTGACGATCCACAAATGTGTTGCCATGCAACCATGTGACCTGTGCAAGAAGAGACAAACCCATCTGAGCCTGTGTAAGGTGAAGGTCCTTCATCAAGCGTGACCCCCATGTGGTCTCCTCTTCACATGCCCACACACCACTTAGAGAGATGACAGCAACTTCACACATAAGACATGATACAAGCACAGTGCGCAGCCGCACGCGCAGCCAGGTGCAAGCTCTAACACACACATGCACCCACAATAATAAGGTGTTAGTACAAAAAATAAAGCAGAAATCACAGAGTACATGTTGTTTCAGTGTTTAGATCACGGCTTGCCCTTTATCACAGTACACACCCTCCTTATCCTTAAATTAATGGCTGCTGCACTCCAGACAGAATTACATGGGTCTGTGGAGTCGTCTTTTACGAGATTGGAATAATTATGTAGGTAAGCACTACACGATTGGTCACTTTTATGTGGTTATATTTTGACAACAATGTCTAAATCTGTGACATGGTCGAAACGTCACTCTAAAGCCTCGAATCTGCTTTCTGCAGGTATGCTAAAATCCACTCAGGTCTGAATGACACAAATTTCATTATCAGACTTTGAGCATCGATCTTTGAGGATGCCCGTGTGCCTGCCTGTGCGTGTTATTGTGCAGAGTTGTCTGTGGAGAATTGACACGAGTGTGCACCAACTATGCATGCACCACAAAAGACCTAAAGGAAATATATATATAACAGGAAATGACTACTAACCCTTCATGTCTCCACAGCAGAGTATAATCATGACTTGTCTCAGCCATAAATGTAAATAAAAGTCAAACATGGACGATGATATGTCATGTATTGGTTTGAGAACTATGACCTTGATATTGGTGTTTCAATCAGACCCACTTTAGTCTCTTTGACTGGACCTGAGCATGTTTTAATGAGAGCTTTGACTTGATTAGCTAATGCTAACACCGGCTTTGTTTGGAAGTTCAATGCATTATTCACTGAGTTATTAACTGCTAGCTTGGAGAATTGGAAGCTGAAAATAAAATTCACTAAACATGTAAACAGAACAGCCGACAGCTTAGAGTATATTTTATTAAAACAGACTATTTTCCTAAAATAATTAACGTAAATATCCTTGCTACCAACTGATATCTTTTCCAAAACATTTCAAACTGTTTGCTAACTGCCTAAAAAACATTTAAAAATAGACCAAAAATCTCTCTATTAACCAAAAAAAAAAAGGGAATCTGTCCTGGGAGTACCCTGCATCTCACCCCGTGATAGCTGGGATAGGCTGAAGCCCCCACAGCGACCGTGATAAGGTTAAGCAGAAGAGAATGGAGGGATGGCAATTTAAACGAGAACATAGAAGACAGCTTAGCACCGTTTCAGTGTAAATGAGGATTGTGACAATAACTGCATACTATACCTCCAGTTTGTTCTTTCCTCGTTCGCCTCGTTTCCATCAGGCTCTGCTCATTCCCACACACGCGCTCCTTACGTATCATTTGCCATCTTATTCGAAACATCTGTCTCAATAACCTCGAGCTTCTTCGCGGACACACCGAGACAAGCGACTGTGAGCAGAGTGACAGAAGGTTAATGGAAATGAGAAATGGTCACATCGTATCGCAACTTTCCTTCTTTCCGTCCTGTCAACGTTTCCGCAGATGGCAATCCATTATTATAACTATTCATCCCGGGGATTTATCATTATTAGCTGAGCTAACATCCCAATAATTTGGATGAAGGAATCGGCACATTTTGCGATGGTCCAGGCTTTAGCATGAACATCTGTTTGTCTTTATTTTATTTATTTTTTGTCTGAGTGTTTCAAAGTATGTCTCAGCTTCCCCTTTTCCTGGCATTCACATGTCCTGCTGCAAGCTTGCATTTAATTTTGCTCATTTAATAATGCCTCTGTGAGCCCGAAAACCCAAATGTGCCCAAACCGTTGTGTGTGGCTGTGTTAATACCATATTTCCTGATGCGAAGATTGTCTGCCGTGTGTTTTTTATCGGCTCCACAGTCATTGATCATGTCTGCCTCTGCTCCGTTGGCGGAGCCAGTCCAAAACACAACACATGAATAATTAAATAGCCAGTTAAAAAGACAAATGAGTTAAATAAACCGTCCCTCCACGTTAGAGCAAGCACAAATGTCTATATGCACATTTACATGCACACACCTTCTCAATAGGTCACTAGATGTGGGTTTGCTTCAGATGCTGGATGAATACATGAATGCTTTTCTTTTCGGCATAGCAGTTTATGAGGATTTATGCCCTATCAAGAGGTGCGTATGATAGATTAGAGCTGAATACTGGAATGCAATTTGAGAGGAAAAGGGCTGAATTTGACTTTGTGAACAATTTAAAATGCTCTGAATTTTCATTGTGGAACTTTATCATTGTCTTTTCGTGGATTAGACTAATGGGAATACTCAGCTAATTCTTAACTCTGTGTGTTTTGTGTTCCTCAGCACTGCTTACGTGCAGACCTGATGAGTTCCAGTGTGGCGATGGCTCCTGTATTCACGGCACCAAGCAGTGTAATAAAGTTCACGACTGTCCGGACTACAGTGATGAAGCAGGTTGTGTCAACGGTAAGCGTCTCGCGAGTACGGAAAAGGAGGACGGCCATGAAACAAGCAAACATCCCGATTATTCTTAGAAGAACATATTGTTCTATTTTGTTTTCCTCCCAATAATGTTGGCTTTTCTTCTAAATGCAGAGTCAAAATTCCAGATTTTATTTAAAGTTTCAGTTTATGTTTTCAGGACTTCTGCTTCTCACTTCTGCCTCCTTTCTTTAACTTCATTTACTCAAAAAAAAAAGTGGCCAATTACAACTTTAATACTTTGAACTAGCTTCACAGGAGCTATAACGAAGAGTAGCACAGTTGGCCTCTCTGGTGAGTTCAGCCCCATGAGAAACTTTAATCAGAAAAATGTCCACCAAAAGATAGGCTTAGAGGCATGGGAGGATAAGAGGCTGTGAATCTCCACTGCCTTAAATCTCCCCTGTGTTCCCTCCACTTAAATCTCCTGAGTGGTCGAAGACGGAGGTGATGATTCAAAGAATTGCAAAGAAGCTACAGCGATATTTTTATTTACTGTAACAACTCAGCTGCGTATAACTTGCACAGAACAGATATGTAGCAGCTGAGTTGCTTCGTGCATTTAATAGGCACTGGATGTCACATCTGCTACTCTTCTACATTTTATTTAGCTTCTACTTTCAAGAGAGTTAAAGGGCCTCTTTGATGGGAGCTCAGCTGCCTCTGGCTCATCTGTAGTTCAAACCGCATAATGCATATGTTATCCATGAAGCCTTTCTCTTTTTTTGAGCTTGTGTTTACTATTAGTTACCATACATATGATATGTCTTTCTCAGTAAGCTTCCCTAATTAGAATAGCGACAAACATTTGTTAACCTCCACTTAACTCCCTGTAGCCTGTCTTATTTATAGAACTAAGCAATTTAATGATCAAGCTTTGCCTAAAGCTTCTCACTGAGAGTCAAAAGAGTCAACCTTTGGGCTAATTATCTCCACAGACCACAAGAAACATCGACAGCATTGCTTTGCTGACATTTACTGTATCTGCATTAGAATCTTGTACTCTACAAAATCTGACGCGCCAGAGGCTTTCATCACAGTAGGGTTGAATTATTGTGTTGCCAAACACAAATTTGGTGCTCAATGTGATTAAAACACTTGCTAAGAGTCTAGGCTTTTAAGTCATCTGATGTCTTCACTACAGTTACAAAATGCGACGGGCCCAAAAAGTTCCGCTGTAAGAACGGGGAGTGTATCGACAGCAGCAAGGTGTGCGATAACGTGAAAGACTGCAAGGACTGGTCAGATGAACCTGTGGAGTGTGGTAAGATTCTTCGTGTTTCTTTACACACACACACATTAATGTGAGAACATTAGCTTGTTCAAATGTGGGTGGTCACTCTTCTCTATGTAAAGGAGATTCATTTGATCAAGGCTGAGTAAATCAGGATATTTCTCAACTACCTTGTTATGATGAAAGACCCAAACGACTCTGCCCTCCGGTGCGATCTTAGCCGAGAGAGCGTGACACGACTACGTTACCCATAACGTAGATTATCCACAGAGATTATCCAAACAGCACAGATAATTACTGCTTCCTCAGCTTTGGTCACACATTTGACACCACAAGCAGTGCAGTTCATCCGCAATCAGATGTAAGCGGCTGAGAAAAGTATACTTATTAATAGAATCGTATCAAATTAATGAAACAAAGGGAATTGAAGCCTGAGATTTTACTTTATGTACACGTTAAAGTGTCTGAGGTTATTAAGAGACGCTGCACTTGACCCATAGCCTCTCTGAATTGGAGTGGGCTGGCATCTGTTGTGTCAGTATAAAATTATATGTGTGCGCACTGCCTTTGCATCCTCCTCTAACCTCACAGCTGATGGATATATTCAATTCGATTTTATTTTTACGGCGCAAAATCACAGCAACAGTCAAGGCTTTATATTGTAAGGTAGACCCTACAAATAATACATACAGATAAAAACCCAACAGTCATATGACCCCTTACGAGCAAGCACTTTGGCGACAGTGGGAAGGAAAACTGGAAGAAACCTCCGGCAGAACCTGGCTCAGGGAGGGGCGGCCATCTGCCGCGACCGGTTGGGGTGAGAGAAGAATCTGCCATGATTCCCATGATAAGAATTAAATATGATGATCTGTGAACTGGAAGTTAGCACACATCACAGCCAAGAAGATGGCGCTGAGTTAAGCCGAGCCTACACAGTAATATCACTTATTAGCAGTAATATAACTTTATCTTATTTGTGAATGACATTGCCGGATTATTTTTGGTATTTAGTAAAACTCTGAATCTTACTCACTCATTCTGTGTATATGTGTGTCTATGTACATCGATCCACAAATTGATCCATAAATCGATGTGTATAGACACAGAAATATAAGAATTTTACTCCAACATTGCTGCAGACATCATTTCATACAGTTCAGTGTCTGTCTGGCGCTAGAATTAAGATGAAGAAAGAGTTTATTGGTATCTGAAAAGAACCTCCTGCCAGCCACCTGCATGTTTTACCCATGCTATAGTCATTATAGTTTATGTGATTTTCAAAGATTTTAACTAAACCTCAGTACAAACTATACAACATTACAAGAGAATAGAAATATGGATATGAGTGTCCACATACTTTGTTTTTTGTTTTCTAGTGCTTCTGCTACAACCTGCTTAAACTGCTTTAAGCAGGTTTTCATGTTTTTGCCTTATTTTAGTTTAAAATAAGGCTGATACTCAGTTGCTGTTCCGTTCTACTATAAATTACCAGTCTAATTTTGATTAAATGCAAATCTGTGAAAGTCCATACTACTCTTTTCCTCTTCCTGTGAGTCTCCCTTAATGTCTTGCTGCCTCTCTTTTTCTATCTCTAGTAGTGTCTTAGTCTCACAGCAGTACCTGTAACCTTGAAGCTTAAATCTTTAATGTAAACCGGTAATGAAGTACCAGCTTTAGCTTTCTGCAGAGATCCCTCTTCACTCCCTGGAGGGTAGTTGAAAGAAAAAAAGGGATAAATGGAGGCACAGAAACTGATACAAAAGGGAAAGGAAGGATGACTCAGTCCAATATGTTCTGTTAAAAGGAAAAAAAACCAGAGGAAATGGAGAGAATTGGATTAGAGGATGAAGGAGAGCACGTGCTTGTGTTACAATAGGCAATATAGTGCAGTAGCACCTGGGATAAGCAAAGGTTCCTGTTGGAAAATGGATCCGTTCCAGGAACTACTAGCTAAGACTACCGGTAGTAGAGCACACAAGAATCACACACAAACTTGAATTGTTGATGTATACAGACAGGACAAAAATATCTTTACTGGCAGGATGATTTAAACTGTCCATACAGACCAACCCGTGGGATTGTCTTCCTGTCCATCTTGTTCTTGTGTTGCCAAAGTTATTCTGTCTAAAAACCTGCTGGAATTTATTGGAACAATACTCAACTCTTTGTTTTATTTTTCACTGTTTCCTCTCTGCCATCCCTGCCCTTTCCTCTGCTGCCACTCTGTCTCTGCAGGCCTGAATGAGTGTGCAGACAACAACGGTGGCTGCTCCCACATCTGCAAGGACCAGAGAATTGGTTATGAGTGTGACTGCCCCTCTGGCTACAAACTCCTGGATAAAAAGACGTGTGGAGGTAAAGAGAAAAAAAAGTGCAGCAGAGCTCCTCATACCTTGGTCCAGAGAAGCACGACCAAAGGGCAGTGACATTAATCAGCTGAACTTTATCTGTGCTATTCTGTGGTTGTTTTGTTCGAGGGTACTTTTAACTATGGCCATTTTCAGGTCCAAGGAAAACATTAACATGATTCATTAAACACTGCTGTTTAAGATTAGTTGCATTTGCTTTACCCGGTTGAGACAAAAATCTAGTATGATAACTAACTTAAATGCAAAAAATGGGGTTAGCACTCTGGAGTAAACTGCCTCATCTAAAGCTTGTCTTTTATGCATGTTGCAAGTTATTAATTGCATGCAGACATTCTGGATTTGGGAGCATGAATAAGTTATTTTAACAACCAGTCTCCTTAGCGAGGTTGCCAGGTCCAGAATGTAAGATGAGGCATTTGTAAAATGTTGGGATGCTGATGATCAGAAAGTGTTCCACCATAAAAAACAGATAAATGATGTACAGAAGAACAAAACAACAAAACATCAGTTCACAAAAACTGCTACTCCCTATTCAGTACTAATTACATTTTCACTGATTACCTAATGGGTCCGCCCACCCATTGTTACAGCCCTAGCAGGACCTCCTCCTGAAATCGTTCTTGTTTGGATGTGTCCTGCCATATCTCCTGCCTTTGGTGCCACCGTTTTTGTACGGCTGACTCCCATCAGCAATTAAGAATGCTTAAATCCAGAGAAAATTGAGCTCTAGGGCCAGAGAGAGCTTTGTTGGGTTGTTGCTGGTGAGCTGTGAGTATGGTGGTCTATTGCTCCTACTCTGTGGAGAGGAGTGTGTTTTGGTACTAACCCCCTTTGACTTATTTTTAGTTTAGTGATGATCACCTGAGTTTTGTTGTTTTCTTTCTTCAAAAGGTAATAGTGGCTGGTCTGTCTCTTTTAGTTTAGTTATTAATAGAAACATTAATAAAATCTGTTAATGTAATCATTTTGCCTCTCTGCCTCCTTTTTTCAACCCGGACACCTTTGTTACTTTCCCTCAACCACTGGACCTTTTTAGGGGACCAAGAGGGGGCTTGTCCGGGATCGCTGAAAATGGGAGTTTTGGAATTGTTAGCATTTGGTTTCTGATTATTTTGCTTGTAAATGGCTTGTGAAATGATGCGGAAACAAAGTTCAGCTCTAGAAACCGAGAATCAGTTCAACTTACTGCTAGCTATGTGACTCAAGCTCTCATTACAGTTGTACAGGGACCAGATAGCCCTTAACAAAGGGGCTAATACCACATACTCCAGAAGCAGCCCCTGCGGACACAGCAAGCAATGCCATTGAATGCCCTCTCTAAGTTAATAAGACAATAGTTGAGCAAAATCCCACGTCCCCTTAAATATGCTTAATGGGATGCAGAGCTTGTCCCGTGTTCCACAACCAGGACAAAAGCTGCATTGTTTCTCCTTAAGTTAGGGGCCGACTACTGGATGGACTCTCCTCTCCAGTATCCCAGCACAGACCATCCTAGGTAGGCTGAGAAAATCGGATCCCCCTGAAGTTGTAACATACCCTCTGGTGCCCTTTCTTGAAGAGGGGAACCACCATCCTAGAGGGCAGTCTAGAGGCACTCTCCCCAAGTTCTATCCAATTTTGCAGAGGTATGTCAGTTGAAACAGTTCAGAACATCCAGAGGCTTACAAACTCGAGTCCAGTCTCATCCACCCTGGGGACCTTCCACCATGGAGTTGTTTAACTACTTCAGTGATCTTGCCTCCAGTATTGGGAGGTTCATCCCCTTTGTCCCCAGATTCTGGTTACGCTGACCTTGGAGGACCTTGACCTGTAGCTTTAAATATGACCCTGAATGCGTTCAGAAATGTCAGATTTTCCATTTTTCCTAATTTATTTGGTTTAAGCTGTTTCCATATACAAACGTGTTTAACATCATTTCTATTATCCAGTTAAAACAGTGTTAGTCTGTTTCTCAAAAATATTAGTGTTACAACATTCAAATTTCTCAACAAAAGATCTCTCTTTTTTTTTTGAAGTGAGGATCCTGCTGAGAAAGGTTGTTAACATGCTAGAAACAGAAAATATTAGCTCTTTTATGTCTCAGTCTCCAGACAAATAGGACTGTGTGTGTCTTGATCTTTATGTCTTTGTGCCATGTTTCTCTCTGCAGACATAGACGAATGTGAGAACCCAGATGCCTGCAGTCAGATCTGCATCAACTACAAAGGGGATTACAAGTGTGAGTGCTATGAAGGTTATGAGATGGACCCTGCCTCTAAGACCTGCAAAGCCGTAGGTAGGGCATTTATCACACACACATTTTTGGAAGTGAATACACACACTGTCATTGATGGAAGCTCCCACCAAAATACAGTCGCACATACATATGAGGAATCACACGTAGAAACCAACTCTCACATATTCAGCAACGGCGCTCCGACTCTAGCGCCGACTACCCAGTCACATCCTACGCAGTTCTCACACAGTGGCACTCCGTGAAAGGAGAGTATTGCTTTGTGTGCAGTTCTTGCACAGCAATCTGTGCAAAGATAAATATTTGCCATCTTTTTTCTGCAGCTCTCACTAATGAAAGTTTGCAGCCAGCTGCTTTTGCTCTCCCCAGAGTGTTAAGGGAAGGGTGTTATTTGGGGAAAAGGTCTGCCCACTCAATGCAGGACACAGGCAGGGTCTCTACCCATTGTTGGCTACAGCAAATACACTGAACAGCAGTTTGAATGAAAATAAAATCTTGTCCTCTAAGCTGCACTTGGCAAGTTTGCAACTGAAAAGAAGTCTTCCTTAATGCTATTCAAAACACAACTGTACATGAGCCCATTAGGTATACATGAGACTTGTTTGAAAGCACAATTTGGGTTCTTCTAATCAGTTCGCACAGTTTTCAGTCTGTTAGAGCTGACCTTAAAGATAACAATCCTGTGGTTACCAAGCCTTTAAGTACCTGCAGATAATGTTTCTATATATTTTACTTTAAGAAGTACAGGAAACAGACGGTCTAGAACAGGGATAGGCAACTCCAGGCCTCAAGTGCTGTTGTCCTGCACTTTAGATATCACCCTGGGTCAGCACACCTGGATTAAATGGTTAGTTCATAACCAGGCCTCTGGAGAACTTCAAGACATGTTGAGGAGGTCATTTAGCAATTTGAATCAGCTGTAATTGACTAAGGACACATCTAGTCCTGCAGGACACCGTTACTCAAGGCCTGGAGTTGCCGACCCCTGGTCTAGAATGTGTTAACAGTGCATGCTTTCAAGTTTTTAACCTTATTAGCATGTCCCTACGATGTGTTGTTTCTGTGTTCGAAGACATATCGGTGAAATAAGCAGGCAACACAGTAGGTGACTAGCCTGACTGAACAAACCAGAACAACATGTTGCCTATGTTGCCACTATAAAGTTCACTTTTCTTCTTCTTCCTATTTTCCAAAATCAGTTAACAGCTCAAACACGGATGGCTGAGGCATGGCCGAATTAGTCCAATATTGCAACTTATTTAGAGTAGAGACACAGAAGCAGACGTGGGTGGCTAGTATGCATCTCTTATATATGCATGAATATTCAAAGAAGTGAACATGCAAAGTTGCATCTGTACGGTGGCCCTGAGAGTCAAACGGACTACAACTTAAGAAAACACCAGCAGTAAGAAAAACGTTGCAAAAGCACACAAAACACAACGGAAATAGGAAAAAACACAAGGGAAGTGTTTCTGGGGAGACAATAACCCGACGGACCAGTTGCAGGAACCAAAATATGCTAAGAACTGCGCTGGGAGACAGAAGTGGAGGATCTATTGGTTTTGTGAGGAAAGAAAAGATGAGAGGTAAGTGTGTTAGTCTAACTATTAGCCTAATAATCCGTCATCAGTATTATATGAATCATGATAAAACACGCCTACCATGTTTTGGGTTCCTGCAACTGGTCCGTCGGGGTATTGTCTCCCCAGAAACACTTCCCAATACTGGAGGCAAGATCACAGAAACACTTCTCTTGTGCGTTTGGAAATCAGCTTTTTCCTATTTCTGTTTTCATGTTTCCTATTTCTGTTGTGTTTTGTGTGCCTTTGCAGCGTTTTTCTTATTGCTGGTGTTTTCTTAAGTTGCAGTCTGTTTTGCCTCTCAGGGCCACCGTACATCTGAGCCATATGAAGACATTAAGGGATTGCCTTTACAAAAAACAAACAAACTTCTAAATATGCAATTTTAGTTTTCAATTTTAACTTTTACGGATAGGTACCTGCTATCTTGCTACATGTGCTAACGATTTAAAATATGTATACATTATATTTCTAGGCTAGAAATTACCTCATGTTCTGGTGATGTTAATTCCTTTCTACTCTCTATTTACATACATTGAGAATGGAACTTTTAACTGATTGACTTACACAGCAAATTACTTTTCGGCGAGAGAGAAAGGAGTGTTATTAGTAATTACGGTCTGAGGTTAAGTCATTACAGGGTAAACTGGTCTGATAATGAGTGCTTAAAGCAGAAAACAGACCTTCACTTCTAACCTAAGTGGCATAAAAAATAGCATTGATTGCTTTGTGTCTCTGTGTGGGAATCTTTATTACTGTTAGGTAGACCAAACATCCTTATTGGAGGCCAGGCCATTTATAAGATGGCAGCATGGAGAAGCAGAAGAGAAATGAGATAGATACTTACGCGGTATATGACTTATTTCTCTGCTCGTGTATACATACTGTTCATCATTACATAGCATAGCCAAAGGAGACAAAAAAAGAAGTCTGAAATGTGACTGGATGGATTCCTGTTTAAGTTGAGGATTGTTTATTCAGAGGAACAAATCGGGTTGGGACCATAAGTACAGGGATGCCTGTTTTGTGAAGCTGAGGTAATTTGGATTTAATGAAGCTGCATTTTGCTTATGAACTCATTTCTAGACTCGCACGTGCGCAGCAACAGAAATCACCGTACATGTACACAGCGCATAAGTAGTTATTTTGAGGAGTCACGTCATGATTTCTACACAAATGCAATTCCCCTGCGACTGACTGGTTAGGAGGAATGTCACGTTCTGCGATGAGATAGGAAACGAACCCGGTGCCAATATCATATGCACATATTGAAGTTCAGAAGCTGTCATACTCATATCATCTGAAGGTTATTAAAGTTGCATATAAGTCCATTTTTAGATATGCTGTTGCTGTGAGTTGAGTCTGTGTAGGTAATTGTGAAAACGCTACGATGTGTTTGGTGTACAGTAACTGCGTTTCATTTATAATCCTAGAATGCGCTTTCTGTCTCTGCAGATTCATTTCAGAGTAATACACAAGTGTTACACCAGCAGTGCTAATTCAAAGTAACATCTCAGGCTGGAGTCATGATGTGACTTCTTTTCTCAGCTCTGTGTGTGTGAGCATTATATGGCAGAATCCAGGAAATTGACCAGATAGTCACGTTTTTAGCTAATGGCAGCAAAGCAGGATGTACACACTGACGGGGTGAACCATACATGCGTGCATACTTGCAAATTAGGCCAGTCATGGCAGACGGCTGTCCCTCCCTGGTTCTGCCGGAGCTATAAATAAAACTGAATTGAATTTGATATTTTATCCTCCGGAGTTTGTCACTTGTTCACTACAATTAGCAAATCTAAGTTGTAACAATAAAATTAACTTCGTACTAATTAACACAGGCTTATTGGCTGTATTAAAAAAAAACCTATTTAAAATACTTCAATTAAAGTCTGTGAAATTAAAAGAAATATAAATGAATACAATGGCGAAGGGTGTAACAGCTGTGGGACTACATAACAGGTACACTCGATAAATGCACGACAGGCTGCGGCAGTGATGCAGAGGAAAGTTACAAACTGCCTTTGGTCCAAAGTGTTGTGTTATTTTTCTGTTCTCTTGTTTCGTTCACTTGTGTCTCGTCATCTCTCTCATCTGTAGTGTACTGCAGGCTTCACCTCAGAGCTGAGAACAATTTGTACCTTTCTTGACAGTTTGATTACACACTTCTCAGAAAGGTTTTAAAGGACTGGACAAATTCTTTTTCCCCCCATTGTCAGAAGATTTTGCCACAGGACCAAAAATGTTGCTGAATAATGTCAAAACTCATCAAAAGTTGTGTCTTGTCTTCAATTATGATGTTATTTAGCATTTAATTCTGTTTGTCTGGAAAGAAACTGGTCAAATTAAACCAGAATTAAGGTTCAAATTTATACATCTTTATTCTCCTACTTTAACTGATCTATTAAGCACATCAGTGTTCTCATCATGAAAGTCCAGGCACCGACAATTTTTTATATATAAAATATAAATAAAATATAAAATATAAGCACATGTGGCCTAGAGCTGGGCGATATGAGATTTTTTCATATCACGATATGTTTTTTTCATTTCAGGCGATAACGATATCTATCACGATATAAGCCAAATAACTATATTTGTAAGATTTAAATGTGCCGTTGCTCACAAGTAAAATGTGAAATAATCAGCAGCTTGTTTTTAAATATTTATTTCCCATAATAAGTTCAACAGGGTAGATGTACTTAAGGAACATGAGACTTTTTCAGATAAATAAAGGCAAATATTGCAAACTACACAAAAGGCAGCCGCTAAAGCGTTTAAGTTTCAAAATAGAACAAATGAAACAGACTAAATTGTCAATTCCACTTAGAAATAAAGTATTAATTCTAAAAATAAATCTTAGTTTGTTTTACAGAAGAACAGACAAAACTGACTAACTTTTGTCAATATCAAATAAACTGAGAACTAAAAGGAAATTCTCAATCTCTCCTTGTTGTATAGCTGAGCTTTTCAAACAGTTTTAACAGTTACTTTAGTCTGACAAAAGCCGAATGATGAATTAGCGCTTCCAGTCAGAGACTGAGGCTACGTCCACACGTACACGGGTATTTTTGAAAACGGAGATTTTCCGTTTTCGTTTTGAAAAATAATCCCGTCCACACATAAAGGCAGAAATGAAGGAAAACGGTGCTATGAACATGCCAAAGCAGCAGGTGGCGCTAGATTCCTAACCGTGCAGAAATGTTGGCCAATCAGAAGTCTAGAAGCCTCGGTGGGAAAAAGTAAACAAAGCTGGGGCATAGAAGCAGAACCGAGTCGTATGTGTGGACGGACAGTAACTGTGTGTATATGTAAGCATTTAAACACTGCAGAGAGTACAATTAACAGTAACAGTATTGTAGAAATTCATTTCACCGAAACAATAACGTGGCGCACAGTGTGACGCATGCACCAGTTTATTGTATTTCCAGACTTGCTTTCGGCACAATTTACAGTGCACGCTACTCTGTTTTTTGTCAGACTTGAAATAGCCGAAATACCTTCACACTACGGAACTTCTATGGCTCTTCCGTTCGACAATCTCTCCGGCATTGGAACCATCATCTGTTTTCTCTTCGGTCACGCTCGGTTGATTTTTCTAGTCGGCACACTCATTTCCTCCATTATGCGCTGGCTGCTTCCCAAACAAACACACGTGCGGCTTGGCACTTGTGCTGTACGTAACAAGTCACGCGACGTGACGCTGCGGCTGTGATTGGTTCGGCTCTGCGCTACTGAATTTGGATCGGCTGACCTTTTTTTTTTTTTTTTTTTTTTTAAGAGGACAAGAGCGGCGAGGTCTATCGCGATAGCTTAATTTCTCTATCGAGTAAAAGTTATATCGCGATACATATCGTTATCGTTCTATCGCCCAGCTCTAATGTGGCCTTTAACCACAAGAATAACGAAGTGTTATGTAAGCGGCTTTGTGTTAACGAATGACAGGAAAGTTGAATGACTTTTGACACAGCTGTCGATGGGAAGTTCATTTCTGTTCTCCGCTGTCGCATCTGTTCGTCATTATATAGCACGGTTTGTAAGTCTTAACAACAAGTCTTAACAAGCACTTCTGACCTTGACGTGCGTGCATTTTTCCAGACATACCATCATCCTATTTACCTCCTCTAGTGCTGGCCAGTTCACAAAAGCTGCAGCTAAACATCGCTGTCAGCCTGCAGAATTTCTCACCATTATTTCTGACCTTTCTGTCTGTCTTTTTTTGGGGGGGATTTCTTTTTTTATTTACCTCTTACTTTGTGAAGCTCACAACATAAACACCTGGAAATCGGTGCTCCTGCAGCATCTAACAGTGTTTCCCAGGCTGCACTTATCCTTTTGCAGCTTTATCTTAATTGGCTGATGGGGCAGAGCAGCCCTGAACGAGCACTGCAGATTAAAATATATTTACGGAACCATGTTGCTGTTCAGATAGCTGACTGTAGCTTTGCAGTATCTTGTAGAAGAGATAATCTTGCACTTTTTGATGACATCTGCAGTGCTGGGGCCTTTTGGAAAACAGTGACTCAGCTTCTTTTTTTCTTTTTAAAAAAAATAAACTTCAGAAGGACATATTGCTGTGACAACACCGATGAGGGATAAGAGATATTGTCGTGAAAAAGTGAGTCTGTGGGGATTGATGAAAGACATGTCGGAGTTATCCATGTCCTCATTATACAGGCTTCAAAATGTTCTTACTTTTCTTTCTCTTTTTCCCACTTTCCCATGTTTTCACTTGTTTTGTTGATGGCTTTTTCCTTCGTCCTTCCTTAATTACATCCTCTTAATGATCTTTTCTCCCTGACTTTACCTGCATTTGTCAGATTTACTTGCGCTTGCCTGTTCCTTTGTCTCTGTCTCACTTTCTCGCTCGCTCGCCCTCTCAGCAGGGGAAATTGATGATTACAAACCAGCAGTAAGAGAAAAATGATTGGATCCTAGCAGTAGTAGAACTGTAATATTTTCTCCTTGTGCAGTGGCCTGTAATAAACCAGGGCTAAGGAAACCTGTCAAAGCACGGTTGAGTCTGTGTGAAAGTAGGAGTTTGTGCTGTCTGTGCACGCTCGAACGTTGCTGCCGGCCGGCTTTGTCTTGTTTGAATGCAGTTTTGATTTTTGTGGACAGTGGAGAATAAAGATGACGTGACAGCTAGGACAGAGAACAAACGTGAAAAAACGTGCTGGAAAATGTAATGGGAGTGGCAATCCAGGACACACCAGTGCTGCTAAATTAAAAGAAACATTAATGTTTTATTAGCTGCACTGTAGTGAGAGTCCAGGACTACATTTCTTGTATTTTAGGTTGAAAGTGCTTGATGACAAAAATATAGATGTCACAGCAATGCTCCCATGCTCACAAACTAAGGTATCTCTGTGTGCTAGAGTTGACCTTGTCACCTACCTAGAATTATTCAAATGCTTGAGCCATCCTCACCTTCAGTCAGCTGAAGTGTGTCCGCTACCAGGTAACTAATGTGCCAGCGAACGCCACATCCTGAATGCCCCTGAAAAAACCCCCCAGCAATGCACTGTTGTACTTAAAATAGACTGTGGCATGGCTCTTGTTGGGTCACTTCACTAACAAGAGTAATGTAACTTTTTCCAACAGTAGGACACCACACTTGCATCTTTATTCCAAAACAATAGTCTTTAAAAAGGGGTGTGTGTTTTCCATGTGGACTGAATCATACCACATACATCATTTTCCCTGTTGTGCATAATTGTGTGAAAAACTCACTCAATAATATGATGTTGTTCTAAAATCTGTGTGTAGATGGGAAACATTATTATTTTAAAGGGGTTGTTTGGATACATAATTTATGTTCACATCATCAAAAATACATGCTTTAAGGACCTAAATAGTACAAATGCAAAGTACAGTTGGCTTACATTATGTTCCCTTCTGGGAATAAGGCTAAACACTCAGCACTACCCACGGTATCTTTGTACACAACAGTATGTAGGTTATTAGACTGGTGAAGAATAGCAAAGGGAAACACTAGAACAGCCTATTTTGTATGTGTGTTAACAAAATGTCACAATGTTCCCAGGAATGGGCGTCCCAATAAATTCCTCTTAAGGTCAGGCCATGCAATGCCCAGAGAAATTGCTTAAAACCCCAAGAGCTACATCTCAGACTTTAAAAACCCCTATTAGAGTGTTAAATGTCAAAGTTCATGACAGTTCATGATGCCACAAAAAGATTGAACAAGTGTGGCGATAGCCTCTTCTCTTAAGAAAGACAGCGGCAAACACACCTTAGCTTTACAGAGTTCATCTGAGGAAACCACAAGACTTCTGGAACCATGTCCTGTGGACAGATGAGAACAAAGTGGAAATGTTTGGCCATAATGCACAGCCCCACGTTTGGCAAAAACCAAACACGACATAATCAACACAAACACTTCATACCAACTGTCAAGCATGATGCTGTATACCAAAGTATTTTAGAATCAAATATGAGGCCATCTGACTGACAGCTAAAGCTTTACCCAAATTCAGTCATGCTACAAGACAATGATGTCAAACACAGCAGCAAATGTATAACAGAATGAAAAAGAAAAGAATGAAGGTGTTGCAAAGGTCCAATTAAGGTCATCCAGACCTACACCCGAGTTATGCATCATCCTGCCAAAACTCAACCAACGTTGTGAACAGTCAACCAAAGTTCTTCAGTAGCTTCAAGTTATTGCGAAGGTGATTCTACAAGCTACTGAATCATGAAGAGTACTTAGTTTTTCAGAGGACTGCATAGAGTCCTATCAGAACTTCGGCTTTCACGTGATTGTGTAGATTTGAAAACTGTGGAGCAACGACTGCAAAGGCTCTGTCACCTCTTTGCTTGAGGCATGACCTTGAGACATGTACAGTAAGAGGCCTTCACCAGTGGGTCTGTGAGACTGGGAAATATTGGTGAATATAAATGAATAAGACTGGTAATACAAGCTAGGGGCCGCCCATTAAGAGCCTTGATCAAACAACCATAAACTGAATTCTAAAATGAGGCACGATGCCAATGCAGAGAGGCCAGGACTGGAGTGATGTGCTCATACTTTCGGTTCTAGTCAGCAGTCTAGCTGCAAATGCCTATAACAGTACAGATTCACAAGTTCAGCTTTCACGTACAGGTATTTTGCAAGGGTAACAAATATTTCCCTGTGACATACCAAGAGCAAAAGCAGTACAAACGGCCCATATTTGGTAGGTTCCTAATTTAGAGTCACAGCAGTGGGTTACAGAGCAGATGAGCTGTTCTGTATAACTTCTCTGTCCAGTGGTTTCATTGATGGTAACATAAACATCTTTCCTTTTCCAACAGGAAAGAGTCCGTACCTGCTGTTCACTAACCGTCATGAAATCCGTCGTATTCACCCGCTGAAGAGTGAGTACACACAAGTGGTCCCTACACTGAAGAATGCCGTGGCCCTGGATGTGGATGTGTCCACCAACAAGATGTTCTGGTGTGATCTGTATCATCAGAAAATATACAGGTACACACACATACAGCGCGCACACACAATGACAAGTTATATTTATTTTTTAAATTATTTATTTAACCCTATCAGGTACTGCTACACAGAACTGAAAACGCACTAGATTTTGCTGGATCATTCTGTTTAATCGACAGAAAAATGATCTATAATTGTATATTTCAGTGTAATTATTGAAATGCTGTAAATGATGTGTATATATTCTGTCTATAAAGGCAGAGGAAGCCCATATAAAACGATGAAAGCCACTGTATAGACGCAGGACCTTAAAGTTAGATAACTCACTTTTGTCATTCTTCAGCCAACATGTTCATTATCTTTCTCCTCTGTCCATCCATCTTGTGTGCTTCAACCTGTCACACCTTCTGGTAGTGAGTCAGCCGCACCTGTTTGTCCTTCACACACACTGTGTGAGTCTGTGTGTGTGCACATATCATAGCTTTGCACATACATTTGTGTGTGTGTTTGTGTCACCCTGATGGCTGACAGGTTGTGGGAGGGGCTTTCTATCATCTCAGCTGAGCCATATGCTCTCACTAATTTCACTGCCTCAATAATCGCTGCCATTATTCATCTCCATACACACACATTCACACGCAGACATTCTCCCACACAAACTTGGTAACACAGTCAAGGGCTTGTGACAGGGAACGGACAAATGAACTCATTTTTCACAGCGAAGCCTATTTTTCGATGCCGTAAATAAACTCACATATCAAAAGTTGCTTTAAGTAGCAAACAGCAAGGGAAGTTATACAGCTTAATCTACTTGGCGTTGTCCTTGATGGTGTTTTCTTTTCTCTAATCTTTCAAAGCAAAATCTTCTGCACTTGCACCCAAGTGCATAGCATCAGAATCAAGTTTTCCTGCTGTTTAGAATATCTGCTCTTTTTGACATTACCATATGTTTTCTTTTCTCCTGTAACGCCACAGTAGAATATATGTAAGCAAATTGTCCAAGTTGCCTTGGTGACAGATCTTAACCCCAGGTAGAGATGAAATTAGAAATCGGAGCTTATTAGGTTGGACTACTATCAGTAAATTGTGGGGTTTTTTTAATTTATTTTGTTTTGTTCCCTGATAAGGTGATATACGAAATAGTTAGGCTTATTAAAGTCTGCACTACTCATTCACCCTCAATGTGATAATGTGGTTTTCCAGACTAATTCATAGTGATTAGCATGCCACGGGTCGATGACTTGTTACCTTCTCCCAATGATGGAGATGTCTGTTGCAAACAATGGTTCAACCAATTAAACATGCAATCTGCTCAGTGGACTTGGACTCATCTGTCTCTGTCTTATTCTTCACTGTGCCCAAAGCCTCTGTTCAGCCCACCAACCTGTTCAACCTAAGTCTATGTGAAGATTTTCTAACTCAAATTAAGGACATAGTGAAATTAGAGTGAGTAAAAGAATATAAAGTGGATATAAAACATCTTCATAGCACTGTCAAAATATCTGGATTTGTGATGTTGAGAAAATATGACCCCAAGAAAAATGACTTCAGAACTTTGTCCATTTTTAATGTGACATGCATAAATTAAAAGCCATGGTCCAGAAAAAGCTTATAAAGCGTTAACGAGATCTCATGATTTAAAGGTATCAGTCAGGAGAAGGGTACACAAGAATGTCCAAGCTGTAAAATATACCATAAAATACATTGTGTTTTACTCAAAATGGACGGAAATATGAGCAGTTCCAATACTGATACCAATTTGGCACAAAAACTTAAAGCAGCTGCTAGATGAAAATGATGAGGAATTTCACCCTTTAGCACAACAATGACCCAAATCATCCAATTCTACAAAAGAATGTCTTCACCTGATGATTAAAGTTTTGGAAAGACTTAGACCTGAATCCAAATCAAAACCTGTTGGGTGACCTGACGATGATTTGTGGTACTTTTGCAAAGAAGACTGTTAAGTATTGCCAAATCAAGAGACGCAGTGCTGTGGCAAACTCCTAGCCAAAAAGACTGAACGGTGTAGTAAAATCAAAAGAGGTATTTAACAGTATTTTAGTCTAAGGCTGCGCACATTTGTGCAGCCAGGTAATTGTAAGTTTTTCAGTGATTGTCCCCCACCCAAATAGAATTGAAGAGTGACTGTGAATTGTGCAGGTTAAACTTTAAAGGTGGAAATGATTTTCTTAAATCGTTTACCTTGATCTCATTTTCTTCATTTTTATACATCATGAAAACCTGATGTGTTGAATTTTTATATCCGCTGTGTTCGTAAAAATTAAATATTGGAGAAATTGAACAAGAGATTAAACAGAAAACATGTTTTAGTGGAACTCGCGATTACTCAGTATTAAAGAACAGAATGTAATGCAAAAGAAAATTGTTTCAAATTGAATTTGTGTCAAATGTAATTTTTGTTCTGGCGTTTTCAGTAGAGTTCAGTAGCTGCATGCTGCATCAATAACACGATGGGTTTCCTTCATGTCCACAATGCTTGAGCCGTTTTACCCTCGAGGGTGAAACAGTGTGGCGTTGGAGCCATGTTGCAAACCCTGAGGCACTCTTGAGAACCCATAGATTATCTATCACACTCACACAATAACATCCCACACTCACCTGACTGTAAAGATGAAGACATTTGGGTTGGCAAAATGTAACAGTGAGCATCTCCAAGCTCTGACTACCAGTCAACCTTCTTCTTTAGTTAAGATGCACCTCCCGTCTCCTCTTACTCCTGTAGGCGTTGCTAAAATGTGAAGGCACTGTGCAACTTGGGACATTGCTTGTCCCAACCTTTTATCAAGCATTTTTTCTTCCATCTTGCTCTTGCATTCATATATTGTCGAGGCAGTAATCTATTAAGTTTTAACATTTTTCACCAGTAAAGGAAATGTCAGTGGGGAATGGGGATAGAAGAGTTGACAGAGTAAGTGGACGGAGGAGGAAAATCAAAGAAACTGAAGACAAGAAAGGGACACTCGGTTAAAGGGGAGATATAGGCATGTGGTGCTGATAGAAAAAGACAGACTCATTCTCCCTGGGAGGCTGTGTTTGGTGTGAAGGCTGAAGTTGTTATAAAGGTGTCAGGATTGGGTGCCCCTCACACCTGAATAGAGTGAAGAATCTATGTTCCCAACAAGATATCTAAGCCACTCACAATCAAGTCATTCCTCCCAAGGAAAGGAAGCCAGACGGTAGTAAATCCATCGTGCCAGCACCTCTATGATGGATTAGGCTTTTATAATTTCCAGATTACTTACTGATACATTTCCTTTCCATCCGCCCACCAGCGCTTACATCAACAAGGCCAGTGACTCATCACAGCAGGTGACGCTCATCGATTCGCTCCACTCCCCGGAGGGCCTTGCTGTCGACTGGGTCCACAAGAACATCTACTGGACGGACTCAGGCAATAAGAGCATATCTGTCGCTACGGGAGATGGCAGGAAAAGGAAAATGCTCATAACCACCGAGCTGAACGAGCCACGAGCCATCGCTGTGGATCCGCACCAAGGGTGAGTTGGGTTAGTTTTAGGGTAAAAGGATTTTGAAAAGATGCACAAAGGAGCAAAAGATTGCAAAGGAGTTGAGCAAAAAGGCAGGAAGGAGGGAGGGCGAGTAAGAGGTCCTACTGTCATTGTGTGTGTGTCTGTAAAAGCCAGTGTTGTTATAGTAGAAAGAGATTGGGTGTAGAAGTTGGCCTAAAGTCAGTAAAGGCTATTTGTAGCACTGAGCCCATCTGTTAGATTAAGCAGTTTAACAGTTTTCTTGAGATGGGATGTAACACTTTGTCTTCCCTTTCTAACTCTTTCCATTTGTCTCGGGTGCCTTGAGCTCCCCAAAGACGTCTTTTCACAGCTCTACAAAGCTAGACTAGCATGAAATACATTCAAATGAAGTCACGATTTCAGTTTTATCATGGACACACATATTCAGATAAGGTCCAAGTTTCCAGTACCTGCTGTTTTGCACAGTGCTTTCCCTTTTATGTTTTCAATGCCTGTCTTACTAATAATACAGTCATTTTGCAAAGAAAATGAGAGAAGATGTCTGTGGAACATCGTGTGACGGAGTACAGTTGATTTTGTCAGTTAAGAGTTTTTCAGAACAATTGACATTGCATATTAACCTCTCTTCACTGGTCCTAGCAAAGTTACTCCTTTCATTTCTGACACTGAACTGGCCGTGCCTTAATGATACAACATGTATATAAAGATGAACAATGGCATCTCTCACTGGTTTTGGACTGTATTTGGGTGATAAGCTGTATGTTAAGTTATCAGCTAATGCTAGCTAGACACACAGATAAGCTGCTAGTTATTAAGTAACAGACAAATAAAATACTAGCTTTCACTCACCAAAAGTAGAGCACACAGGAAGCCATATTATTTGTTAGATGATTGTATTAAAAGTTCAAAAGGTCACAAACGCAGAAACAAAAAGGTCCAGTTCAATGACTTGAAGTAGCGGAAGTTGAAGCCTTGCCGCGAGTTGGTGCTACAACCGCCTGCATTCAAGCGTCACGCTCCACAGCACTAATAATTCACAACTTTAAGTATTAATACTTTAAGCCCCTATAAAGGGATGAAATGTAAAGATGTCACAAAGGTGGAAAATTACTTTTTATACCAAGCTAGAAACTTTTTTTCACCCCTGCTCTAAAGCTAGGCACTCAGCCACAGATAGCCACACATTGGTTTCTGAAGTGCCATATTGTATTGAAGCTTTTGCCATCACCAGCTTGGTTGGCAAAAAAACCCGAGTTGACAAGAAGTCAAGTGTGAAACCGCACAATCATTGGCTAATGACTTCTGATGGACAGCTATTAGCCATCAAGTGTGCGGTTTTTATATCATTTTGTAACATGGTTACAAAATATTTCAGTTGATATTTTATTCAGTATGACCCAAAACAAATGAGTAAAATCAGAAAGCCATTTCTCGTAGCCTTCTGTAAGACTTCAGGTCTCTTTTACAACCACAGCTATCACCATCTGGTGGCCCTCAGAGAGAATGCAGGCAGGTCACGTTGGCTTGATTTCTCAGCCTCCGAGGTTGCTGCTTCAATTTAATCTAACTTGTGTATCTTCCCGCAGGTTTATGTACTGGTCAGACTGGGGAGGTCAGGCCAAAATTGAGAAGGCTGGGATGAATGGAGTGGATAGACAAATTTTGGTGTCTGAACACATTGAATGGCCCAATGGAATAACTCTAGGTAAGGAAAAAAACATGTAGCTTTGAACATTCAAAGCCCACGGAAGAAGGATGAAAAGCTAGAAGATGATGCCCAGATAGAAAAAATCAATCAGCTCTGACAGCAGTTTTGTTAAAAAAAAAAAAAAAGGTTATTATGCTGACATTGCTTTTAGAGAGAGAGAGAAAAAAGTGTCTCGAGTGAATTCAACACAAAGAAAAAAAACAACACATGGAGGAAAGCCAGAGAGAGACAAACAGCACAAGTTGAGAGAAGAAAATAGTCTATGGGTGCTGAAACCCAAGTAGCTCTTATTGCTATATACCTCAGTTTGTGTCTGGCTCTCATCAATCAAGCCAGTGAGTATGAGGCTCCGAATTAATAAGCCAGACGCTCTGTGCTGTCGATACCTCCCCTCATCCCTTTCAACTCCCTCCGAAGCACCAGCCAATTCCTCTCAGCTGCCCTTGCCTGAGGAGAAATAGAAGCACACAGTCGCCACACTCTGTGGAATTGAGGTGTCGCCGCATCTGTATGAAAACAAATTATTTTTGGAATAAGGCGAATGAGAGGTTTGGCGCCAGGCGGCTGTGGGAGAGAAAGGGTGAATTGTGTTCCCCTGGTCATTGATTTCATAGAGACCACCGAACAGTGCAGGTGATTGAGTCAGGAGAGGTGAATGGGGACAGAGAATCGTGTTAATTCTCTTCCCCCTTCAGTTTACTTTGGTGCTTTTATTGGATGCTTTTTTTTCATATACTTCCAGTGTTTTACCAATTTCGAATTGCTTATTGCACACAAAAGCTTAATTCTTTGTTAATTACTAATTAAATTCTTGCTTTCTGTTTTTTAAATGTTTTTCTTAAAAGCATAATCTTAGAGTCTGGTGAAAAAAAGAGTAATACAGGGATTATTTCCTTTGCTGTTTAAATTCAATGTGGTGTTTCGATTTCAAAGTAAACACCACAACACTTTGCCGCTCGTAGCAAGGACACAACAATGATTTGGGCCTAATATAAATAATATAGCAGTGGCTAAAATGTGGAGTTATTTGAGATTTGCGAAACAGCAAAGTTTGTCTTTAAAATAGGTCCAGCAAGACTAATGAATCTGTTCAAGGGCATATATATTTTCTCCAGCAAAGAAGTCAAGCGGCAATATTACAATCACATCTGTGTTTTCTTAGTACGGGGCTGAGGTCGTCATGTCAAAGAAGATTGATTGTGTAGCTACTGGGCCATTACATCCATATACCCCTCACCCTGGGCCGTTTCACTCTGAGTGACCTCTCTCTCTCTCCATTCACCTTCTCCCCTACCCCCTCTTGATTTTGTTCTCTCTCGCTCTCCCCCCTTCCCTGCATGTTCTCAGACTTGTCCAACAGACGACTTTACTGGGTGGACTCCAAGCTGCACCTGCTGTCCAGCGTGGATTTCAATGGTGACAACCGCAAAGTGCTGCTCTCCTCGCATCACCACCTGGGCCATCCCTTTGCCCTCACTGTCTTTGAGGTATAGCAGTTGAGAATTGAGATTCAAATGCAAAGAATCAGACCAGGCGGTAATGCCAGAGCTCTGGTCTGGTGCATACAGCTGTTTCTGTAATATGCATTTTTGAAAGTGTGCAGTGTTTTGTTTCGTTTCCAACCTTTTGGGCAAATTTTAGTTTATGCTAATGTAATAATTCATCATTAGACTATATCATCATACAAGGATATAGTTTCTGCTCTAGCTGTATACCTATTGAAATATATGCTGAACAGTTTATTAGGTACACCTTGCCACTAAGGGTTGGAGCTGGAAACATTCCTACGATTTTGGTCCATATTGGCATGAAGGCATCAAACAGTTAGATGTGAATCTTTTGTGCTACCACATCCCAAAGGTCCTTTTTGGTCTGGTGACCGTGGAAGCCATTTTGTATGGCGAACTCCCTGTCATTTTCAAGAAACCAGTTTGAGATTATTTGAGTGGCATGGTATGGAGAATTATGCTGCTGGAAGCAGCCATCAGAAGATGAGTACACTGTGGTCGTAAAGGGATGGATATGGTCACCAACAATACTCATAAGTTAGTAGAGGGTAGGGACCAACGAATGCCAAGAACTTTCCCCTGCACTATTTCATCACCACCAGGCTGAACTGTTGATATAAGGCGGGATGGATTCTTGCTTTCATTTTATTTATGCCAAATTCTGACTTTACAATCCGAATGTAGCAGCAGAAACTAAGACTCATCAGATCGGGGATCATTATCCTAATCTTGTGTTGTCCAGTTTTGGTGAGCCTGTGTACGCTGTAGCCTCAGTTTCCTGTTCTTAGCTGACAGTAAAATATGTTCATGCGTAGGGTTTCTGTCTTGGTTAATGTCCTTGGTTAGATTAAATTTCTCAGTGTATGTCTTATATAATTTTGGTTTAGGGTTGGGTTTAATTTGAAATCAGTTTGCTTAAAGTTTCTTAAATAAATGTGAAGAATGCAGAACTCTTTTTAAGTATATATGGACATACACAGCACGCTTTTTCTTTATTTCCTAATAGAGTTAGTGGGAGGCTTTACCTGGAAGGTAAACAAGATCCAGAAGTTCTTATTTCACTCCCAAAATAAATGTAAACACACACACACACACCAAAGGGGTCTCAGATCAGTTATCGCTGCCTTGTAAGTGACAATCATATCTTGTTTGTTGATTCCCAACATGGTTGCGTATTTCTAGACTTGCAGTGAGCAAAATTTTAGCAGTGGGTTTTTAAGTATACTGTTTTGATGCCATTTATTACTATGCTTGTTCATCGTCATAAATGGAGGACTGACACACATTTTCAAAGTGTACTAGCGGTAAAAGACGTGCGAGAACTAGAGGGGGAGAGATGAGTCAGTGCAGGGACATGGCTGACTGACTGAAAAGAAATGGAGATGTTATAGCAGTATAGAAGCAGGATAAATCCAGAGAAGGAATTGTTGTTTGTTTGCTGACGAGTGTAGAGTCACAATAGAGTGCATCAATCAATAAAACTAATTTGGGTGTATTTATTGAGGTGGGAGTGAATCGGTACGTTAGGGCCCATCAAGCATAGATGATGGTGTGGAAGGTGGAAAACAACTGGAGGAGGGAGGAGAGAGCAAGGGTGAAGGTGGGGAAAGTGGTAGGTGAAAATGTGATCAGTAAGTAGTGTTTGCTCCATTCCCCTCTTTGCTGCACACACTGTGTGTGATGATGGGAAAGCAAAGGGAAGAAGGGACATCCATCATGCCCAGCTGAGAGCGCGTGAGTGTGTGCGCGTCTGTGTGTTTGCGTGCAAAAGAGAGAAAGAAAACCGATGTTTCGAGCAGCAGTGAAAGTTCACCCCAGGAGATTAATAGCTCTCGGCTCTTCTGGTCTTTCTTCTGCTCTGGTTATGATATAGACCAAATTAAAAACCTTTAGCAGCACAGGAGGATGTCACGGTGCCTACAGACCGATAATGGGAAGTTTGTTACTTTTAGAATTGCATCGTTCAAATTTTGAACTAAAACACTGAACGTTTTTGATCATTCTGGCTTTAAGGAAATGCTCTAACAAGTAAGGCACCAGCTGTGATACTTCATAAAGATAGGATAGGATAAAAGGGCTACTGTTCTAGGCTGCTGAACAGAAACAGAAACACGCTTGCAGCATCAGTAAGGAGGGACAGGATGGGGCATACTCCCAATAACAGAAGGCACAGTGCCCGTCCTGCAGATGTGATACAAGGTAAGCCTGCAGCATAGACCTGACCAGGACAAGCACACTTACTGCACAGTGCAGAAAATATGGAGTGCAGTGTACTGATATGCACTGATATAATTCATTTTAATGGAGAGAGACAGAATAAAGTCCTATAGAAAAGTTCCCAAGAAGCCTAAAGACTTTAGAGAGTTTCTGGCCAAAATCCCTCCTGAGATGTGTGCAAACCAACTCCATGAAACAACAAGACAGGAACTAAGTCATGTTTTGCTTGGGGATCAAATACTCAATTATATACTAATCAGTTTAGAACTTTTATGTGATGTGTTTTTTCTGTATTTTGGTTGATGTTAAGTCGCTCTCTTTAAAATGAATCTACCATTTGTAGCCATTTGTAGATGGATAGCAAAGGCAAGTCTATACCCAAGTTTACACTGAATGAACAGACTCCTAGTGTGAAGATGCTTTGCAGGGACAACATTTTCTCCAGCCGAAACATAGCAATTTCAAACACAAGTTTTTATAGAATGAAAAAAGTGAAAGCTGTTAAACGTAAAAGAAGAGAGAGTAAAAAATATTACAGCATGCACGAGTTGCACGGTGTTGCTGTGGTAGGACTGTCGCCTCGCTTTAGTTGGTCTTGGGTTTAAATCTAGGCTGAGGCCTTTCTGTGTGGAATTTGCACGATCTACCTGTGGCTGTGTCGATTCCCTCCACATACTCCAGCTTCCTCCCACAGTTCACAGTCATGTATGGGGTTGGGTGAAGCTTAGGTTGGTGATTTTAATTGGTTGTAGGTGTGAATGTGAGCACGAATGGTTCTCTGCCCATAGTGTCTGTCCCTGAGTGGAAGAAAGTGGACTGGTGAATCAAATATTGGAGCCATGCTAACAAAGAGTGCACTTACTTGTGTTGCAGCTGATTCTTAAATAGTATAAATTAAGCAAACGTTAGTTTAACTCTTCCTATTCTTTAGTTAAAAACAAAGTAACTGTAAAATGTTCACATTTAGCTCATACACTGTTCGGTAAGTTTCAGTTAAGACAAATCCACAATAATAAGACCTGGGGGATCACATGTAAAACTTTGTGAAAACTGTAGAAACTTATTGTGAACGGGAATTGTTGTGGGGACTGTGTAACCCCAAATCAGTCATCCTCACATGTTTTCTCGCATGCAGAGAAAATGTTTCTGACATTTAGCCACGTTTGATTATGCACAAGCATAACAAAAACCACAAGCCCACAGCTCTTAAGCATCCATTTCTTTCACATGCACATCCATATAGATGCTCTTCTGAGCATGTGAGATATGAGTTGTCAACTCATGTGCGGCGTACGGTTTATTCCAGCTCCTCATATTCCTGAGCGATACAGTGAACGCTACAAGTCATTACACTCGAGTGTGTCATCTGCAGACTTCGTTTTGATGCTGATGAGCGAACGGGTTTTCTCAGCACTGCAGAGAAAGATGCAGGGCCTCTGTATCAAACCCTGAACAGACACACGCATGTAAACTCTACCAGTTAGTGCCGACCGCCTGCCTACATGCCAAGCCCCGAGGAGATGTAGATCGCAGAAGCTTGCAGAGAGTAATGTTGTCTCTTTTTCAGCTCTTGACAGGAAGGAGATAGAAGAGAAGGTGGGATGGGATTGAGAAGAGAAGTAGTGGTTGAAAGAAATAAAAACTGGAGTAATATGTAAAGATTTAAATTTTAAAGGCTCTATGTGAAAACAGGGGCAGTCAAATGACGTGATCAAAGCTTTATTTTCTAAAAACCTGACAAAGACGTCCGTCAGGCCCTCTCTGTCCATATCTACAGCCCAAATAAGAAAACTAGTCAGCTCACGTAACTAGAGACACGTTGTAACGTGCACATGGGAAAAAATTCTCTTTTGCAGCTTATTGGAAATTAAATGATTTACCGAAAAAGCCCCCACATTATTTTTTCAGAACTTGGCTAATTATGCCAAAGAATGCAGATCAAACCCATAAAAAAAAAAATCAAATCAAATCCTCAACAGGCGAGTGGGTTGGCTTTGTTTGAGCTTTCATTTGTAGTTTTCATGCATAACATCCAGGTATCCAGTAGGCACCTGAAGCTCATCAGACAGATGTGTCAGACAGCCCCGACGCATATTCTTCTGGGATAGAATCGCAGCAAAATCATAAAGGGCTGCTTTCCCTTGACTCAAAAATGGCTCCATATAAATTTAGACGTGCTCTCACTCCCCCGAGTTGCAGCTCCATCTGATGTGACGTGGCGCCATGTGTTCATGGGAGCAAGTCTGCGTGCGCTTTGTGTATAACTTCTGGCCTATCCTTCAAAACATAAAAGATGTACCTTGATCCTACAATTGAAGAGCACTGCCCTTCTCAGGTTTTGTGCTGCTGTTTGAAGCTTCAAGGTCACAAGCGGCGCGCGGAAAGATTGACAGTGGAGAAAGTAAAAAGGGGAAAACAATGTCAGAGACTGACTGCTGAGGTGGAAATCAAGACAGAGAGCGAGAGAAGCAAAAAGAAGAGATGGAATAATAGATTTGAGTAGTGTTTTATCAGCGTGGCTGATATTTGTCTTTCATTGTTTCAGAACTACTGTCATATGAGTAAAGGTTATCAGAACCTAAGTGAGGGAGAGATTGAGTGATAGAGAGCTCACTGAAAGATGGGGGGGGAAGGTGAGAGAGAGAGGTCAAGTCCACTGATAATACGGCACAAAAAGCATGGATGGCTGCTGTGACTAAGCCCCACACACGGACACACACATACCCGCACACCATACAAGTCTTGCAGGTCTTTGCCTTTAAAAAGATGATAAAAATACATCCTCCCTGTAACGACGAAAAAACCTGCAGACACACTGATTGGTCTCTCCGTCTCACACTCACCTCCTAAATCGTCTCTTCATTGTTTTATCGAGCTTTCCATGATATCAGCCTGTCTGTGTTTTCTCGTGCAGTCATTTGCTGCATTTTTCTGTTTTTTCTTAATTGATGTGTGCTTGCAAAGACAAAGCCGTCTGGGGTTGCTGTGGAAACCAAGTGCCGTGAGCACTTGTGTGGTTATATCGTGTAGTATCATTAAAGAGAATAATGAGCAGGTGTGAAAGAGCGGAAGGGAAATTGAGAAGGAAGCTGAGCTAGGACTACAAAGACACCGTACGCTCCGCCAAAGCAGTCACTACCTTCTGCTTTGGCACAAAGCTTAAACAGAGAGTCAAAGGTACAGACGTTTTTCCAATAAAACACCGGGGCTGTTTTTTTCTTATCAAGCATGCAACTTCCTTACAGACTTAAAAAAAACAACAAAAAACAGTAAAAACACCGTTTTAAGTAAACACTGCTCCCCTTTTCACCCACCGAGCACAGAGTAGGTGGCTTATTTTAACTAAACCGTCTCCAAGAGATGCCACGCCTCCTCTGTGTCCTTGTATTTGTTAAGTAGCTGTTATAATTAGGGTGGTTAAAAATAGAAATTAGCAAAGAGTGCCACCTGGGCTTTCTTCTCTGGCAAATTGGAGTAATGTGACTCTGTTTTTAAGTTTATTTGGGGCTGATTATTCTTACCAGAGAAGAGAGAGACTGGCTATAATTTTAAATACCTGGAGTGCTGGAGGGTAAAGATGTTAGAGTGGGGGGGGTTTATTGCATTTTTGAAAAATTAACCAGTTACCTTGGATATAAAACACCTCTCTATTCAAGTAAACCACAACACATCCTCAAATGTAATCGTAAATTTAATCAAATAGCCATTGTTGGGATGAGGACATTTCTTTGCAGCAGACTGGCTTTTTTTCTTCCTTTTTTTTTTTTTTTTAATTAACGGTGACTACAATGAATATCAGTGCACAGCTTCTAAGCAGAGACAAATGGTGTTTATGAAAAGCCATTTATTCTAAAGTTGTATGCAGATTATGCTCATTTGCAGCATGTTTGCTCCATACTTGAGGTCTCACGGTTCTGAATTACAGAATCACTGGACTCTGAAAATGATAAGCAACAACAGCTTTATAAAACCCTAGAATGACGCCCTCTTTAGAGAAAACATTTTTGTAAGTGTTCTGTTACTGAAATATGAAATATATCTCGTCATCACTGCCATTTGATTAGGAAAGTGTCCGATCTCAAGTGGTACAGCGCAAGCAGTTCTGGATCTGCAACATGCATGTGGCTTTATAACATTATCTGTGGCATTAGCTGAGATATCTTTCGTTTATTCTTCTTTTTTTTTTAATAGGTTGATCGTTAATCATCAAGGCTGGTTTAGGGCTTTTTATTTATTTGTGTATTTCTCAAGCTGACTTTGCTTTATTTTAACCCAGGATCGCGTGTATTGGACAGACTTGGAAGATGAAGCGATATACAGCGCCAACCGACTGACGGGACACGATGTGGCCAAGGTCGCAGAGGACCTTAACAACCCCTGGACCTGGTGGTGTTTCATGAACAGAGGCAGCCCAAGGGTAAGAAGAAGAAACGCATAGAAGCTTAGCACAGGTGATCTAAGTGGGGCTGTCCCAGATGACCTCAAATAAGTCAAAATGTCCGTTTCGTTTTCAGTCTGTCATACTGCCCAGTCTCTGTCTAGGTGCTGTTTGCCACTCGTAAGCGTGCAGGATCTTGTTCGGTATAATGAGCAGGATTTTGGGGCGTATGTGCACACAGGATACACAAAATCTAACCTCCTTCCTGAGTACAAAGCATTGCATTATCAGCACATAGACCACTTAGTGAAACGGTCTGAAACAATAAACAGATAATCTGATGAGTGTGATTAGACCGGTGGATGTGACGGGCACGTCAAAACGATGTGTTTGTCTTTTTTTTTTTTGCACTCTCGATGTGTGTGACTGCACGCACGCGTGTGTGCCTGTCAACACCTCTGCTTGTGAATACCTGGGTGTGTTTGACACTGCGTGCCAGAAATGTGTTTGTGCGAGTGTTTTCATGCTTTGTTTTCTCTCCTCACTCACTGAGCGCTCAGAAGCAATCTTGTCTGTGCGCCAGCAGGCAGCTAATTGCATTCCCTCATTAATAAATCAAGAGTCCTGGTCAAAAAAAGAAGTCACAGAATTGGAAAATGTTTTCTCCCAAATACCAACAAAAGCAAGACAAAACACTGCAAGGCTAAGTGAAGGTGCACCGAGTAGCCCCCCCAAGCACACGAGTAGCATTGATAAGCAAAGTATTTGATAAAATGTGACCTCGACTGCAACGCTTGGTGAGTTCAGACTCCTCTCTGCCCTGTCTTTTACCGATTTATCTTTGTTTCTCTTGCATTTTTGTATCATTTCTTATTTGTTAGTGTACTGCACCTAAGGAAAACCCCAGTGAGGAATATTATCTGTAAGTGTGGTTTGGTACAGTACTGTGCGTCTCCACATATTTCGAGACGCTCAGATGTCTTTCATGTTTATCGACACACTTCCTTAAAAGAGGCTTTCGTCCGATCCTTCCCAAGTTGTGTCTGTTTTATTATTAATTTTTTGTGCGCTCAGTGGGTCTTTGAAGCCTAGGTTCACTCTTCTTAGTTGGAGACCAAAGAGAGGCAGCGCAGGAGGAGAAAGTGACGCTTTTATGGCTTAAAACCAACATAATTTTGTTGTTGTTATCATCTTGGTCCTTCTTTTTTCCTTCTTCATCCTCATCCTCATCATTTTCGTTCACTTTTCTCTTGCCTCCCTCTCTCTCCTCCTCTGTTTTCTTCTTTCCTTCCTACACTCTTCCTTAACCTTTTTTTCCCATCCTCCCCAGTTTGATGACTCCTTCCCAAACCTTTTACCACATTTGGAGCTTTGAGAACTTAGACAGCTGTTCTCATTACATAGTCATTATGCTGAGATACTGTACATCAAGTATAAATGTATTCCCAGCTTATTAAAATCTCACTCTGTGTAGCAAGTGATATTGCTGTTTTTCCTGACAGCTGATGGCGTGCTGCTCTCCAAAGCTACATAAGAAATCAGGAAAGATTGCGACCTGACCTAATTCTCGCGCTTCCCCACATGACACAAAACTGCAGTGTTTTTCCATGAGTCTGCAACTGTGCTTAAGAAACTACATGTAAATTTTTTATTTGGGTTACAGAGATTAAAAGCAGTTGAGACTCTCCTGCATTCACCTACGCATCTCTAAAGTCAGCAAGAGGAAGTGTGTGGAATAAAGATTAGCTTCCTAAATCTAGCATCAAACTAGTTAATAGTTTGATGGCAGCAGAAACTTTTACTGATGAGATACCGGCGCCTACGTGTCAAATTTGATGCTGGTTTTTCTTTTCTTAGGTTCATCCAGTTTTTCATGTGTTTTTTTCTGCAGATTGATGAACCTCAGCATCTGCGAGATGATATAATATAACATGATTATCCCCAGTCGTGTTACTGACATGTTTCCAGTTAACATATTAGTTGCAAAATGTTTCTCCAGCTGGTTCTTTTTCATTAGCACTTACTTTTGCAGCCTTTTCTTACCCGTGTCCCAACTTTTTTAAGACTAGTTATTGCCATCAAATTCAAGTGGCCTTATTTTTTTGTTACAATTGTACATTCTGTAATTTTAAACCTTTGATATATTTTCTTTGTTCTAATTTGAATAAAATTTGGGCTGTTGAGATTTGGGCTTTGTGCAAGTTTTTTTTTCCTTTTCCAGTACAGCTCGTTAATAAAACATTGGGGTTTTATTGTTTTCCAAGAGATAAATGTGTTGCCAAAAGTCTTTTTTAATATTTTTACATTCTGCCTGTGTTCCCAAAGGTCCTGATACCTGTAATATGGGCACACTGCCTAATGGTGGCTGCGAGTACTCTGCCTGAAGGCGCCTCAGATCACAGACCACTCCCCCAAGTACACCTGCGCCTGTCCTGACGGCATGGAGCTAGGACCAGACATGAGACGCTGCGCGATCAGTAAGTCTACATTCCACAGGCACACCTGAATGAATGATTCGTGTGGATAAATGTCACATGAGATTCACGCTGCTAGGATCACAGTGAAATTCAGGAGCATTGTTGCCATTCTCAGGGGTCGTTGGCTAACAGTGATCAGTCCAATAGTAAGGCCTGAATTTTCTCCGGTTCCTAAATTCTTTTACGAGCACAAAGAATCCAGGCTAACTTCTCAGCTACTCCATCAGTACAACATAGAACAGCAGTGGTGCACAGCAAGGCTGCAAGAACGAAGCACACAGTCATTCTATGTATAAGTAAATTATTTGGAATGAGCTTGTTTCTAAGTCAAACTTAACCTGACAGAAATATTTTGGAAAGACCTGAAGTTCATTTGAATAAACCCACAAACATGCAAGCCGTGTAATACTGGATAAATTACCAAGAATATTTTGTCTCATTTATTTATTTGAGTTATGTTCGTCTGTGTGACTAGTGTTAAAGTCTGATCATCTTTTAGGTCATATTTAAGCACAAATATTTAAAATTCTAAATATAAAGCGTTTCTATTTATACTGTTTCTATTTGTCATAATACTTTGGATACTCCAAATACAGTATTTTTCAATGTCTGCAATTTAACGGTACAATGTTTACAAAGCTAAAAGTGCCCTGGATCCTTCAGAGAATCTGAACCTTAAGTGTTGTGTAAAACTATCTTGGGAACTAGGTCAGGGACTCTTCCCTGCACTTCTAACCTACCTCGCTGACCTTATTTCATCAGTCAGCTTGTCCCCCTGCCCTTATAGAGTCACTACATTTGTAACGTTGCTATTTTTACTAGACCTACACCTAATGTCTATATAGGTGAGCTAGGAGGAGCTGACACAGAGAAACGGGGGGAAAGAGACGATGAAGATGTATTGAGGCAATATTTCAAAGAATCCCTGTGAGAGAGGCTGGGAGTAGGTGCAGGGGCAGTG